ATACCCGCGTATAAGATATATATCCTGCAAGAAATGCCTACTATGAAACCCGATCATGTTCGGGCCCGTCGTAAGGTGGTTGGTACCCTCGTGGCGGGGGAACCGGTATACGACGGACCCGCCGAAGCAACCACTCCGGAATCTCCTCGATCGCCCGTTCGAGAACCACGACGTTTAGCCCCAGATTTGGATCTGGCTGTCGTAGAGAATGATCTAGTATCTAACAATACATATCGGGAGGGCTCCTCCATACTGTGAGTGCGGGTCAATGAGAAACCAAAAAATACCACGATCCACCAGAATAAGCATCAATATCCTCGAATCGGATTAGATGCTGCTTGTTGGAGTGAATGTGAAAGTGGAAGAGTACGAAAAGATGGACTTATATATGGTTTGGAGGAAGAAGGGTGTCATCCACCAGAAATGTGACTCGTCCCGGTTACGACTCCGGATGGATTGTGGAAGACTGAGCCAGACTGACATCCAAGAAAGGCGCCAGAAAATGAGGAAGATGGCGAGCTGTATGATAACACGCCACGCCTCATGGGAGGTGCCGATCATGAGGTCCAAGTGAAGTGCAAGACAAACGATGAAGAGGAGAAGCATAACAAGGTTGACGATTGCGATGAAGTAGTATCCCGTGTGCCAGAAGAAACTCACTTTGAGAACCAAGGAGAGTTTGCTCTTTGGCCCAAGCATCTCTCTCCATGTCGCAGAGAATTGTTGTATAGCTCCCTGGCACCACCGCTGCCGCTGCTTGATATATCCTTCAAACGTCCACGGTATAAGACCAATCTAACAATCAAAGGTGGAGTCAACAAAAGTCACCGTGTTTTGAGCAACAGCAGACCTGAAGGTTGCGGTTGAGGTAGACGGAGTTGAAGTCCTGGTTGAAGAGCTTGAATGCGGTCATGGTGTCTTCTGTGATTGACATTGGCTGGAAGCCTCCAATCTCGTCCAGATGTTTCCTTTGGAAGATTGCTCCGGTTCCAACGCACGGTGCGGCCCCAAATGTGTCCCTGTGAATCATGACACGCTCGTAGCCAAATCCGCAAGCATCGTTTAGAGGGTCTCCCACTGGCAGGTTATAAAACGATTGAGGGATTTGCACGAATGACACTTTGGGGTCCTTCACTATGTGAGGGAGCAAAGTCTTCAAGAATGAGGGGTGAAGTATCATGTCTGCGTCCATCATCACCACGAACTCCGCGTCGGAATGCTCCATGCCATAGTTAAGGTTTCCACATTTGAAATTGTGTGGAACTCCTGGAATCTACAACAGTGTGATCATGAACACGCACTGGGAAGGGAATAACGACTATTGTAAGCTACCTTCTTTCGAGGAAGATATTTGACACAAGCACTCTCCAATTCTCCACAGTATCGTTTTAGCTGATCGTCCCCTCCATCATCCAGAACCAAAACTCGAAACTGGTGTTTGGGATAATCCATGGCCAGGGCAGCCTGAATGGAATCCTCGGGAACGTCAGTGGGCTCTTTGCAGCAGGGAAGAAATATGTCAACCGTCGGAAGCTCTTCCCAATTCAACGATAAATTCTGACGAGGCCGCCATATTCGAGGCGGTAACACCAGATCTGCAGCCGAAATAACGCTGCTCGCGAACTATATCACCTCGCAAGTCGTCAAAACTATCAGCCACGGCCTTCTCACGAGCTGTCCGGGATGTTTAGAGTAAACATAGATCCTGTAAACGAGGTAATTCGCAAATGCAGCTATGTGTGCACAGACAAGGATGGAGATAATAGTGTGCCAGATTAGCTTCCCCCAATGCGGTGTCGATATTGGATGAAGAGAAGACAAATTGGATGAAGATGGAGAAGAAGAATCATGGGAATCGCTTTGATCACTAAGATGATCACTTGGTGGTGTCTGGTGCTGCAGTTGCAACTCAATATCTCCAACGCTAGACATGTTACTATCTTAGTGAGTTTCTCTTCGTTCCAGAGAATTTATTTGTGACCATAGTTTACTTTTCGTACAGCTGCATTTGTGTATGGTTGGTTGCTGTCTTGCAAATTATGTCTTGAATCGTGTAAAGTTCCACTGAGAAGAGTTTTTTCGTAATCATGTTAAGAAGTGCAAGCGAAAACAAAATATCATGTGTAATAGCCAGCTAAGTATTCCGGTTTACATTGGTTGTGTACCATATTACGTCGATCAAATCCCTTCGAATATAGTTGTGCTTTTGCGAATCAAGTAGCGTGTTCAATTCTACTTCTTTCTGCTACCGACAACTTGTCTTCGTCTTGCAATACAAGTTTGACTTCGGTTAGTATTCAAGACCGCCATACTCACTTTGACTCTGATGCCTCTTTTCAGGAAACTTATATGCATGCCAATGTTGACCACACTAGCAATCTTCAAGAGATCGCTAGGACAGAAAACAGAACTACAGAGAAGAAGGCACAAATGCAAAAAGGAACTCTCGCTATACGTAGATAAACAGGCTAGTTTGCCACTTTACTGAATAAAGAAGTGCAAGTGTTGATTGACTATATAGCACCTGCCTTACACCAGCGTCGATCCGATTTGGTGACGATTATGACAAGTGCCGCCACCCAGAAGATACTCGTAGCAACGTTAGATATCCCCTCGTAAAAGATTATTGACCAGTGCCACTTTGGGAGATAGTCTCCCTCCAAAAATTGTGGAACTCCTTCCTTGTACTGAAGCAATGACTTGCGTTCCCCAGGTTTGTAGCTAGGAGGGCACAAGATGTACATAATTGGTATGAGCATGTGTGCACAGGTGGAAAGTAGAAAAAACGATATGGTGATCACGTAGAAATTATTCTGGCAGTTTTTGCCACCTTGCTCCGCTATCCAATAAATCCTGTAGCCAACCACACCCAAAACCAGGAATATGTAGGTAATGTGCACCCTTACGTGCTTGAGCTTGCCAAGGAACTTGATCACCGCTGGTTGTTTCTTGAGCTTGGCTTGTGCCGCAGCACGGTCAATGTTGCTTGTTGGAGTGAATATAAAGGTGGAAGAGTATGAAAAGATCGACTTGTATATCGTTTTGAATAAGTAGGGGGTCATCCACCAGAAATGTGACTCGTCCCGGTTGCGACTTTGGATTGGCTGGGGAAGACCGAGCCATACTGAGAACCAAGACAGGCGCCAGCAGATAAGAAGAGCTGAGAGATTTATAAGAATGCGTCGGTTGTCGTGAAAGGTGCCAACAATGAGGTCCAAGTTCAAGGCAAGGAGAACTATGAAGAGCAGGACCATTACAATGTTGAAAATTGGGATGAAGTAGTATCCAGTGTGCCAGAAGTACCACACCTTGAGTAGGAATGAAAGCCTGCTCTTTGGCCCAAGCATCTCTCTCCATGTCGCAGAGAATTGCTGTATAGCTCCCTGGCACCACCGCCGCCGCTGCTTGATATATCCTTCAAACGTCCACGGTGTAAGACCAATCTAACAATCAAAGGTGAAGTGAACAAAAGTCGCCGTGTTTTGAGCAACAGCAGACCTGAAGCTTGCGGTTGAGGTAGACGGACTTGAAGCCCTGGTTGAAGAGCTTGAATGCGGTCGTGGTGTCTTCTGTGATTGACATTGGCTGGAAGCCTCCAATCTCGTCCAGATGTTTCCTTCGGAAGATTGCTCCAGTTCCAACGCACGGTGCGGCCCCAAATGTGTCCCTGTGAATCATGAGACGCTCGTAGCAAAATCCGCAAGCATCGTTTAGAGGATCTCCCACCGGAAGGTTGTAAAACGACTGAGGTATCTGTACGAATGACACTTTGGGGTCTTTCACGATATGAGGAAGTAAAGTCTTCAGGAACGATGGGTGAAGTATCATGTCTGCGTCCATCATCACCACGAACTCTGCGTCCGAATGCTCCAGGCCGTAGTTAAGGTTACCGCATTTGAAGTTGTGTGGAACTCCTGGAATCTGTAACAAATGGTCATGTAAAAAGAACTGTTAGAAAAGTTAAAAGCTGACCTTTACTCGACGAAGATATCGGACCGAAGCACTCGGAGGCTCGACATGCTCCAATACCTCACAGTATTGTTTCAGCTGATCGTCCCCTCCATCATCCAGGACCAAAACTCGAAACTGGTGCTTGGGATAATCCATAGCCAGGGCAGCCTGAATCGAATCCTCTGGAACGTCAGTGGGCTCTTTGCAGCAGGGAAGAAATATGTCAACCGTCGGAAGATCTTTCCCAATT